ATGAAATGAAACGAAACGAAACGAAACGAAACGAAACGAAATGAAATGAAATGAAATGAAAATAAATGAAATGAAATGAAGCATAAAGAATTCACGCTTTCAGTTGGTGCATTGAATATATTTTGTCATGTCTGGCTTAATTTTGCTCACTTTAAAAATCCCAAAAACTACTGAAAGGCCACAGTATAGATCTCTGGACCAAAAGATACAATGAATTTGCTCTGTTCTCTTGTGTTCATTTCGCGTAAGTCTTTTCGTTTATGCTTTCATTGGTCGAATACGACAGAACACTTGGGATTTATCTTTCCAATTCACGGCACTCGTTTTTAGCAATAACAATAGAACCACGCATGCGCTTCATTTAACTTCACTTCTTTGTGTGTTATTGTATTCAAGTGGGGTGTTCATTGCTGAGCGCTCTGTCTGTTTTGCTTGATTTAATTAAACACGCACTTCTTTTCCTTTCGTTTGGTTGGGTTAATTGAAACAACGTACACAGGCTGATTCTCAAGAAACCTACAGCTGTGTTTTAATCAATAGAACACACATCTCAGACGGTTTCAGTTGTTTCTTGTGTTAACCATAGGCCATCCAGAAGCTATATCCACGTCGATCTTTTATTTGTGTCATGTTGCTTCGTTCACTTCGTTCGTTCTGCTGCACTCATCGCTTGAATAATAAATTAAGCACGCTTTACTCTGTTAGATTGTCTTATCACGTTTAGTAGACTTTGTTATAAGTTAACGCACAGAAGGAAACGAGACTGCCTGGTGGGAGGGATTCCAGGGCAAAGGAGCAAAAAGAGGAAGTGAAAAGAAACACATGCCTGCTTTTTCCTGTTCTTCATTATGTTTTAATTAACCTTGTGAGCGGTGTGTTTTGATTATGAACAATAACTAAGGAACACTGTGTAATACAAAGTAGCAAAATATATGAGTGATTAGTTCATAAAATGAAAGCCCACAACGCAGAATGATAAAGCACCTAATTTAGACGGTACTTCTTACGACTTATAATTTTCACCATGACATTCGGTTGTTTGAACTTTAGGATCTATCACCCGCTCCTTCCTTTGCATCGCTGATGCTTAGTTTCTGGTTCCAGTCTAGAGGTTAATAATATGACGAGCACATTGTTCGTTGGCTTTTTAGTGTAAATATACGGAATCAGTTGAATACATGGTTTAAGCGTAAAAGGCCAATGACAAGCAGGAGCGGAATCCGGAGTCGTTCATGAAGGTCTCAGTGTGTTAAACCCTTGAAGTGAGTCCTGTTGTAGCCCACCAGTTCTTATGCTGAAAACAAGAAACCCTGCTGTCGTGTCTTCTTCATGCAATGCTAGCCTGATGCCCACACGAGCACAAATCGAAACGACTCTTGATGTCTTCTGCATCCGGCTCTAAAACATACGGAAACCGGCAGATCCTGGAGTGGGGTAGCATATGTATATACCTATGTGTCGAAAAACTTCACAGTGTATGTATGCAGGTATGTAATGGATGCAGGTATGTAAATGTGTATATCTTCATATGCATAAACAGATTGTGTTTCATGTTGATCCTACAAGTCGACATCAGCTGTGATTTTGAACAAGAGGCTTCGGTCTGTTTGTCGACAATCACATTCCCAAATTGTCAGGTTGTTGGCCTCGGCATGGTATGGATCCAGGCATCATGCGCAGACCCTAAAAGTTAAACCCTAACTTGAACTGGGCAAGTCCGAAAGCCAAAGCCAGCCCAAGGACCTTAGGGTTTAGGGGTTTAGGATTTACGACTGCTTCGGAAGACCGAAGACATACCAACATCCGAAGCAAAAAGCTCCAAAGATGCGTCACACGAGATGCTACTCTGGGTTTCAACGCCACATGCCGAAACTCAATTTCCTGGGTTCGTTTTACTCAGCGACTGGGCTTAGTCGGATGGGTTATGCCACATTGGGTATGAGCCTAAGAGGATACTGAGTAAGTAGCTTACCTTAAAGCATACCCACAAATCCCTACGGCCCTGAACGCCCAAAATCAGAATCCTAAACCTAAACCCCTAGACCTTACAACACCCAAAGCTTCTTTCCTCCTTTCTGCCCAGGCTGTGCTCAACTAGAGTCGGATGTTGCGCCGGCCTCCTCCTGCTCAGTATCGCTGCCGTCAAGGATCGCCAGCACGAGAAGGGTTTTAAGGGTTCAGGGATTTAGGGGTTTTGGGGTTCAGGAGTTTAGGGGTTTAAGGTTGAGGCCCGTTTCGGGTTCAGGGTGCAGGATCTTGGGGTTGAGGGTCAGGGCTTGGGGTTTAAAGTTTGGGGTTTGGGGTTGTCAGGCTCCCGGAATTAATATAGGGTTTAGCCTGCTTCCTGATAGATCTGGAAGCATTTATCATATAGGTTAGAGTTTGGGGTGTCCGGCGTCTGTACGATCATATCGAGTTACTGTGCAAGTAGAGTTCCGGAAGATTTGGTTTTCTGACAAGAAGCATACACAGTTCTTCATAACGTTTCCATCTTGTGCCCGCGCCGGTCGAGCCCGGTTAGTATCTGGAATGTCTTTGTGAAATTTCAGCACTTCGTGGTTGTGGTTCATAGCTGCGCTGCTGTTCTGCGCTGCAGCTCGCAGTCAGCGTCCTGAGTCATGAGCAATAGCATCAACAGGCCTGTGACACTGGTTCAGTGCTTTGGGCTATGGTGCACAATGATAGTCCTTGCTGTCCTACTCACCCTGCCCGCCCACTTTCACCAGGTCCGAAGAAAAGCAAGTGGCAAGAAGGGGGTTGGCCGTGGTGAACACGGTGGTTCTTATGGGTCGCCTGATACCATATATCCTAAAACCTGCACACTAAACCCCAAAAGGTCCAGTTTTGACTGGGGTTTAGGATCGAGGGTTTTCTGCCGCAGGGATGAGGGCAGCGCGAGCCCCAGCATGCCTGGCTGCAGATGGCCCAGTGGTCTTGACCTCTTCTGCCCTGAGATCCTAAATCCTAAACCCGAAATCACCAAGCCTTCAGCTCTGACCCTTCATCCGAAATCCTTTGTCATCAAGCCTCAGAGCAAAAGCCATCAGAACTCCGTGGGAGGATCAGACCCTTTCCAGGAATCTCTAAAGTGAGCACTTGAAAAGGTCCTATCCTCACCGCTACATTTACTCAAGCTCCTCGACATCCATAAGAAGCCCTTACTAAACCACCCTAAAAGCTTCCTTAAGCCGTACACCCCAAGCCCATCTTCCCGAGACCTTTGAACGACCCCGTGAGCCTTTGGGTGTTGCTTTGAGCGGGTAAATTGGCCTAGAGCCGTAGGGCTCCTTTTCATGTTTTCTGCACAGAAGTCCTTCAACAGGTAGGTGATATGTGGGCACTTGGGTTAAGGATGGCTTAGAGGGAACCGAGACCACCTTCGTTGCCTTTCCCAAGAAGGTCTTAAAAACATATATATATATATATAGTAGACTTCAGGGTCTATAGCAAAAATCATTATTATGATTTGGGGGAGTATCACCCTAACACTACCTAGGACCCTTTGGATTTGTTTACCTAGCAAGGCAAGCGTCAAGTCTTGCGGGCGCTGCGCACCATTCGGAACTCGAAGGCAGTCTCTCCTCTACATGGGTAGCTGTCAAAGTCATGGTCGCTTGGGGGAACCACACATAATTCTACTCTCAAGACGGCACCCGAGCTAGTCGTATCGAACAGTAAAGCAGGAAGTGGGATCCTTACTGTTTAGAGACCAAAACACCCTAAACCCTTGAGAGGAAAACAGCAACCTCACGGCTACAATGTGGAATATTCAGTTTCGGGATTCTGAGTCGACAATCCCGATATGCATCTGACTGCTGCTGTGTCAAACAACTCCTGGCTAGAAGCTCTGCAGGGTTTAAGACCTACCTAGAGGGTCATACCATGTCATACCCCTACACCCTGGCGGGGGGGGGGGGGGGGGGGGCCGCTGACCGGCAGGTGGGTAGCTAATTCTACGGTGAGGGTTTTTTGGGCTCACATAGGGTTTAATCTAATTTAAGGGCTAGTGCTTCAACATTGGGCGTTTTTACGGCTGTGATCCGTTATGGCTCATGGTTGGTATAAAGTTGTAGAAGGTCCATGAGACGACACTCGAAGGGATCTCCAAGATATGTAAACAACGCGTCAATCCGATCCGGCTTGCAAGTTGATGCAGCGACGGATTACCCAGGCGAAGATTTAAATTAGGGTGTAGTAGGGTTCACGAAAGTTTGGGAGTTTCGAGATGGGGAAGCGGGCAAGTTATGGAACTTTGGGGAACCGAGAGATTTAGAGATCATGCCACAAGACTTTCTTCGCTGTAGACTAAGTGCATTGAAGCTGGTTCAGTAGTAACTCAGTAGTAGAGCGTCCCAGATCCAAAGAACCCCAAAACACTTTTTTCTATGTTTCTCTTCACTTGAGTCTGACAGGCACTGAAAAGCCTTGCAGTCTTACCCTGAGAACACTGAATGCAAGGCCCCTAAGCCCTGAACCAACTTTTTCGATGCGAGTCCATGTTCCCGTGCAGTAGCTCACTATGCTTGTAGGAACATGGCAAGGTAACTAGTAACTGGCCATGTCATGTCTCGCTGTAGTCCCTACGTACTTCTTTCGATTATGGCATACCCCAAGACCCTATTCTTCTTATTTTGGGAAGTCGCTTCATCTCTCATCACTTGGTTTAAATACACATCGACGAGTGTCCACTCTCAGGAATCGCACTTCACGCGGTCACTTCAACTGTGTGCAATCCTGCTGTTCCATGCTTCTGGCAGCGTCCACATAGTGGTTTGCATATCCGCGCTCTTCTTGTGGGTCTGAGTTGTGATCCCACGGATATTTCTCGAGCCGGTGCTTGTGGAATCGAGCGTCCGCGTGCGGAATGGCTGGTGTTGATGTGTTGTGATGCCACCGAAGTGCATCTCAAGGGGGTGCTTGTGGAATCGAGCGCCTACGTGGTTGTAAGGTCCCTAATACCTTGAACCTCAGCAAGCCACTTTCCCTGTGTTGCTGGGGCCTCTCTCTTCTGGGTGGGCGTTGAGTCCACGTGCCGTAAGGGGCACGGTTCCCACATCCAGAAACAAGCCATGGGCACACTTTTGGAACTTCCGTTGCGCGCCAGGCTTTCGCAGCTGGAACCAACTCCGGAGAGATACTTCTCTACAAGGTGTCCCGGCCGCGAGGCTCTCCAAACCCTCGAGCGGTACCCTGCTCATATCTTTTTCTCCTTTCATGTTCTTGTTGACGGAGCTTGAGTCGTTAACGGCATACTGGAGACCCTAGGCTTGTGGCATTGTGGTATTAAGTTTAATTCCAGAGGCTATGTCCAGAGGCTTGAAGAAACCCGTAGAAACCGATGTACAACTTCAATAGCCCATGTCAATCCCCAGCGGAACCCTATGAAACTTTATGTAACCGGAATCAACCCTAGACCCTACATCGAACACCCCAGACCTTGAAACAACAACCTGAAAGTTTACAGAGGAAGGTCTGATACAGACTGTGCTGTGTGCTCTCGCTTTCTGGTTGAAGGTATCGCTACAACGGAGTTCTAGCACTGTTCTCTACATGGAAAGTTTCGGAACACAGGGGTTCCATGGGTTCAGGGTTGAAAGTTAGGCTTTCGCAGTTGGGTTTATAGCGATTCAGATGATGAAGGTTCACAATGTTACAAGGGTCTTAATTAGGGCTTGTATGGAGTTTGGGTTAAGGCTTGTATTCGAGGCGCTGTCTGCCATGGCTTAGCTGCGTCGCTTTGCTGTTGTCGGGGCACAAGACCTTGAAATTCTAATCATTGAGTCTCTGAGCCCTGAGAACAACAGCATTTATTTGCCATGCCTTGGGTCAACCTTCCATGTTCGTTTCGGTTCACACAGGCCCTTCGGATTTGGGTTGGTTAGGGGTTTAGGGGTTGGGGGGTTCAGGGTTTAGGGAGGTCCTCTGAGAGCCTTTACAGTAAACTTGGCTATTCCTTCCAGATCATGCTCCACAAATGCGAAGAGGATGCCAGCTGTAGCTTAAACTTAATACCCTAAACCCTTTTCCTAAACCCTGCAATCTAGGGGTGGGCTTTGGGGTTTCAGATTCGCAGGAGTCGAAGAAAGCACCAACAAAAAAGGTATCTTCACACGTGTAGCACAAGGATACTGACTCTGTGATGAAGCTTTGTCTTAGGGTTTCGGTGAGTGCTGAGAGGGCTCCTTTGGAAACGTGCGTGTGCGTATTCATGTGTGTGTATGTGTATATATATA